CCCGGCCTGGGGCTCCCCAGGACCCCGTCCCTGCCAGTCTCTCCCATCTTGCCCGCTGGCCTTGGACCCCAGGCAGGAAAACTGGGCTCCGAGGGGTGGGAGAGAGCTGGGTCTGACTCAGGCCCGTGCCCTGCACCACCAAGGCCAGGCTTCTCGCGGCCGACCTTTGTCCACGTGCGGGGCGCTGGGCCCTCCTGGCGGGATGGGTGAGAACCAGGGGCGGGCATCTGAGAGCCACGCCTGCTCCTCCGCCCTAAACCTAAGCAAGTCCCCTCCACGCAGAGATAGCAGCAACACAGCCTCCGTGGCTGGAGCCAGCCCACTGCCGACCCTGGCGGCTCCGTGTCATCCATGTCATCGTGCAGTCCCGCCTCTTTGTTTAAATAACCGCGTGGGTGAGTGGGTGGGGGCGGGGCCTGTGTATAACCTGCTGTAAATAAATAACCACAAAAGGGAGCGGGCTCACATTTTCCAGGCCTCCTGCTAGTGGAGGTGGGGAGGCTGAGGCCTGTGCCCTGGGGACTGAGCAAGTGACTGAAGCCCAGAGTGCATGCGGGGAGCTCACATAACAGGAGCCCAGCCCACCACCTTCTTCCCACAGGACGGGCCCTGACCTCTCCTACCCCGCTCCCCCCCCCACCACCTCCAGGAGCAGGACAGACCTGATCCGCCCAGGGCAGGACGGGCCAGGGACTCAGGAGCAGAAGCCCCTCCCCAGGCGGAGCCCATGCGCCCAGCCCAGCCCCCAGGCAGCAGCGCCCTGTCCTCCCTCCCACCCTCCCATCGCTAGGAGCCTTAGTGGAGGCCTGGCCTGACAAAGGAACCGGGCTGGCAGGGCAGGGAGAGGACCTGCGCTCTGTGGGGGCCTCTGCGGGGCGGGCGGGTGTGGTTGGAGAGGTGGGGTCTGCACCAACGCCTGAGGGATGAGGGCCCTCGGGGAGTCAGGGGGGCACTCTCCAGGGGCGGGTCTGGCAGAGCAGAGGCTCCCAGGTGGGAGTGGGAGTGAGCCGCGCGGCTGAGTGTGGTGGTGGGAGAAGGCGAGCAGGACAAGTGGTGAGGGGCCTGGGACTCAACCTCGTGTACACAAGCTCCCGTAAGCCCAGCGAGGCCGGGGCCTTTCTGCGGGGACCGCCGTCTCCTCTTCCCTGGAACCTGGAGCTGGGACCAGCCACGGGGAAGCAGCCTCCAGCTGGCAGGTCTCCCCACGGGGCGGGGACGGCCTCCTGTGCCAGAGGCGGCCTGGCGGGATCCTGGCCGCAGGGAGGAGGGCGAGAGGGAGCCAGGCCCCAGGCGCTCCATCCCTGACCCTACTTGTGAGTTACAGGCAGGGGGCTGAGTGCACTTCTGTCCCCCTCTGGGGACAGAGCTGTGATGCCGACACCCCCAGACGCTGGTAGAGGGACACCTTGGGAAAACCCATGTTAGATGACGTCAGTGTGTCTGTCCCAGCATGTGGTCTGTCTGCCCACACGATGATGCCACCTGCATGAGTACTGCTGACACAAGTGCTACGTGCGCTGAGTCAGCTCGGCTCCTGCGACCCTGTGAGTGCGCCCAGTGCCCTGACCCACGGCCCCGCTCAGCGCCCGCAGACCCCCAGGGGCCTCTGTTTGGAGTCAGTCCCTCCCATGTTTGGCCTGCTCCTCCCCCGCCGCCTCCTCATCCTCTTTCCCCAGCAGCATCGTCCTCTCTCGAGAGTCTGCCCTCTCGGATGAGCCCGCAGGCCAGCGTCAGGGCCACACAGCTGCCTGCCGGCCGGCCGTGCACCAGGTCTCGCTGGCTCTGGGACACATCCTCTAAGGAAGGGCATCCGCACGAGTGGGTCTCTTTGCTGGGGACGCTGTTCCGAACCCCTTGATAAATATATACTTTTGTCTAGTCGTGTATTTTTATCTAAAAGCTACAGGAGAACCATCGCTAGCACCTGAAACCCATTCATTCACTTTCCCTTAAAGTCTCTATTCATAGTTACGAGTGAGTCTTTGTAGAAAGCAGTGAAGGGAAGAGTTGGCCAAACCCCCAGAGCAGGTGAGGGGACGATAAGGGAGGGGGCCAGTCACGGAGGTGTGGGCCCTGCTCTGCCCTGTGGGACCGGGGAGAAGCAGAGGCAGGGGGAGGGAGAGGGGAGGGGGCCAGACACCATGCCGTGGGTGCTCACCCCCACTCCTGGCGCCAGCAATGGGACTGGAAGATGAGGCCACTGGTGAGGAAGGAGAGGGGGCTGGGAGCTGAGAAAAGCCTGAGGCCCCCGGCCTCTCGGCCCTCAGGTGGCCTGCTCC